GGTCGTTTCAACGATAAATACCATGTCTACCCTAATTGTTGGTCATTTGAACTTATGGGGTGATAAATAATGCTTTGTACTTTCCTGAAGATAAAAACACCTGGATAGACGTCTGGAAGAAAACTCGTGGATAATGCAGCCATTTACTAGTGAACCAACAGAAGACGAAGAATTGTTGGAACTCCGGGAGTATTTAAATCAAAGTATTTCATTCCGCAAAATGGATTACTCGGGAGTTTTGGGTTTCTCTTTTTGAATTTCCCCGAGTACAAAAATCTGGCAGAAAAGGCCGTTGCTCTCCTGGTACAGATGCCTACGACTTATTTGTGTGAAGAAGGGGTTTTCAGTCTTGTTGAAATCAAGTCGGAAAAGCAAAACTCAATACTTGATATTGATTCACTATTGCGGGGAGCAATTGAAAAGGAACTAAAACCCCGTTATGGACGAATTGCCAAAACTATACAAGAACAAAGAAGCCACTGAAACTAAATTAACATTGTCTTTACATTTTTTACACATTTGGGTGTTAAATTTATTGCATCTGTGAGTAAAAACTAAAAGAAGCATTTTTATTTACTCGCCCCGCCGCCTAGATTTTAGTTCTTTTCAATATGTGCCTAACATTTAATGTTCATTTTAGCTTGAAATAAAAATTGGTATTTGTAAGGTATACGAAGTTCTCGAAAAATTGTAAAAGGCATACCACGGCAGAAAAGGTTGAAGAACACTGGTCATGTGATTTAGGGACAGAGCTACTGTGTCTACTTTCGCTTTAAGGCGATGGTTTCCGCCCTTTTTGATATACTACAATACAGTATATAAAAAATACAGTCTGATAGCAGAAGTGAAGTGCTCTAATTTTTCATATAGGCCTATACTGTCCCAAATGTGAATAATGTTATAATCTAAATTAGAAACTTTCTTTTAGCAAGGAGATACATAGAAAAATTCAAAAAACAATCTCGTTAAACAAAAGTTTGTGTTCTGCTGGCAAGGTATTCTTGTTGTCTGTTTGAAAAATCAAGCTCAAATCTTTCATTTTTCAATTTTATTGGTGACAGCTGTACAGAATAACAGTTTGTAGAGTTTAAACTAGTTTTTTGTGGTTTTGGTAAATGAAAAATGGATCTACAATCAAAAAAGCTTGTCCGAGCGACTCAGTCAGATTGCCTTATGTCATAATTTGATAGGTTCAAACAAAATGGGTTTCTTTGTGATTTTGAGGTTGGTGGAAAATCTTTTCGAGTGCATCGTACTGTCTTGGCAGCCTCTTCAGAATATTTTGAAGCCATGTTTTCAAGCAACATGAAGGAAGTTCATTATGGCCACGTTAATATGAAGGATGTCGATCAGGATCAGACAATCGTCTCAATATAAAACAAGAAGCCGAACAGTTCGTGATAACTAATTTCAAATCTGTTATTTCTTCTGAGATGTTTCCATTCGTCACCAAATCAGATCTCTTGCGTTACATGAGAAACGAGACTTACCAAACATCATGGGAAGCTGTTGTAACATAGGCAAGAAGTAAAGACAACGTAGATGTTTTCGAGCTTGTCCATACTGACAAATATCCATTTAAATTTCTTCTGCAAACTGTCCTTGAAGAACCCATTGTAAAAAAGAATAAAACGACTAAAAATTCAGTGATTACCGCCTTATTCTCTGAGGTAAAAAAGATGGAGACAGGTCTCGAAATTGACTGCATTACTTTGAAGAACCTGGCTGAAACACATCAAGTTAATGATCCGAGTGCAGTACGAAATGTGATAACTCAATTTTTGGGGGCAAATTTCGAACGGGTTATAAAGAAAAAAGAATTTCTTGACATAAGCAAGGATGACATAATGGCACTTTTCAAATCTTCAAGCACAAAATATTCTTCCGATGCTGTCAAATGGGAGGCGATGCTAAAATGGGTGAAACACGGTGTCGGAAGTAGAAGTAAAATATTCCCAGACTTGTTTAGTTTTCTCAAACTTGAAGATTTATCTCTTGAGTTTCTAAAGGAGACAGTCCGAGTTGAACCCTTGGTTAAGAAAGCAGAGAAATGCATCGACATGCTCATGGAAGAAATTTTCTCTCGCGCTTCTGCAAAAGTTATTCAACAAAGTAAAACAAACAAAGATATTTATTCATAAAAAATATTTGCCCTGGCCATACGAGTGCATCTTGAACCAGTGGTTCCCAACCTTCCCACCCCAGCTGACTGATAACGTCAAATAAAATGACCTCACAAATCAAAATAGGCAGAGGTCAATTTGCTTTGCAGAAAAAAGAAAGGCAAAAAAGGGCATTCCCGGGACCAGTGGTTCCCAACGTCGATCGATGGGACCAGCGGTTGGGAACCGCTGTTTAAAACAGTGGTCATCAAGCACTTTTGCTTTTGTTAATTCATATCAATGCTGGAGTGTTTAAAATAAACTCTGAATGGGAGCTAAGAATTTTTTGTTTGAGAATTGAGATTGCTATAAGTACTATAATCCGGTCCGCGACACTTCACTGTATTATAGTAACAAAACAGCTGTTTTGAAGAATATATATTCCTTATCACATTAACCGCTATGCAATCACACCTTCCCTTCCTCAGTAAAACTGTAAATTATCATTTTCTCGTAGTTTGTGCTTGCGATATATTTTTTACTGGTTGAAAAAAATAAACTTGACTTGACTTCCCAGTTGCTATTTCAAGTACATTTGAATTGTGCGAATATTTGCCAACATATAGACTTATTCAATGTTTCAGTATGAATACTTAATACCCTATTTTTCGTTTTGCTAAGATTAATAAGCATATCCTTTTTGTTTACAGGTGATCCAACTCCTATGCTCCCTGGTCCCAATATTCAACAACCGGTTCCCCTACACTTCAATTTTGGTAGGTTTTTCATTCTCATTTACTATTTGAATATGATTTAAGATTTGATGTGTTATACTAATATTGCTCTTCAACCAATCTCAGCATTCATTAGAATGAGTGCTAAGTATCAACTTATAATCATTATGTGCCGAAATTAGTAAGTAATGTTCTTTCCGTCTGATAAGTTAAAATTGAAAAGTTTCTCTCCTTGTCAGTTAGGCACCAATGCTCGCTTATAATTTTATTTGGTTAGAACCAGGTCATGTTTGTTTCGGTAGAATCATACTCACAAAATTACCGGTTCTTCCTACAAGGCCGTAATATAGTAATACAGAACTTGTAGTTTCTTTCATTTTGCTGAGATAAATAAATATGTTACTCTTGGTAACAGGAAATTCAAGTTCTATGTTCGGTTCCTTGGATAATCAACAGAGTCCCCCTCCAGAAGAATTGGAATGTTTTAGTAAGTTTATTGCTCACCCTCCAGTTATTTTATACAAAAAATTTTGTGTTTGTACCAATAAGGAGGTAACTAATTTTGTTCGCCTATTTTACATAGAGTTGTGTAAAGGGACTGAAACCTATGGGCAGGGGGACTATTCACTTGGATTACACAGACAGTCCTCGAACTCGTAAAAGAACTAAAATAAGGAAAATTGGGATAATATTATGGCTTAACCCTAACCTGGGTATGAGAATACCAAAAGTTTAGGGATGAAGAAATACGCTTTCTTATCATGGAAATAAATTTTGTACATGTTGGTGTTTGTTGTTTTAATTAGCAGAGCTTAATTTAGTTTTTCTTATACTCAATATATTGAACTAGATGTTTCTTTGTTTTCTTGAATTTATTCAAGGTGAGAGACAACAATGGGGAGGAGGGGGAATTCCACTACGATCTCTATTATCAACATGGGTGAATGTGCCGCCATCTAGTGGTACAATGACAAAAAAACACGAAGGAGATGAAATTGCTATCACCCACACATTTCCTACTAGTGTTCTTAATATGAGTTTCTTGACTTCATAATGAGCATTAAGTCAATGCGCCACTTTCAAAATTTACAAGGGTGATGACTAGGTTTAGTACATGTCTGGGTTTAGCTTGGACAGTCCCGCCCTGTAAACCTAACTGTACCGGTCATGCAGTGTTGCAGTCAAAAATATTTATTATTTAATATTCATACAAAATTGTTTTTTTCAACGGATACAGCTCATTTATCAATGATTTGTGACTGACTTCACTAGTTCAGTGAGAGAGAGAGAGAGGATTACCTGTAAGTTATATTGTTTTGTCATGATTATTATATGAATAATCTATACATCTAACAGTAACTTTACTGCCGTTAAAATAATAAAATGCTGAAAAGAAATTGCACGTTTTCCAATGATTTTGATAGTACTAATTAGAATGGAATATTGGATTTGTTCGATCAGCGCTGTCCTGGTTTTTTTATGTAAATGGTTATGACCAATGGTGTCAGGCATGTGGATGGAAAGTTGATTTTGAATTGAACTTGTGTTATTGCAATTTGATTTGGTTAGCTGGGATAACTTATGTCTAGCTGTATAAGCAGAGCTACCATAACGTCCTTATTTTGAAGGATTTGTCTTTATTTATAGTAATTTTGCCCTTATTTATAAGAAACGTTCTTATTCTAACATGTGTCCTTATTTTTGTCCCCATTTTATGGGTAGATGTTTTAATACCAGGCACTTACGTAATAACCATTCATTATGTAATAACAGCAAATTGATTGACACAATGACAAAACAATAGCTTATCGGCCAAAATCAGTTTGTGTAACTTAAATGAAAATACAACTTAAAAGTGAGATGGAACAGATTGTATCTAAGAATAAAGAACTGCAGGAGCAAATCCCTTCTCGTATAAAATTTGATTAGACACGGTCGCACTGGCATGAATACATTTTGTGTATTACATTTCGTTATTCTATCATTATGTTTCCCCGATGTCCTTATTTTTGGCTGCATATCGATAGCATCCCTGTGTATAAGATATTCGGGGATTGATAAAACGTTGGTGACTGGTCATATTTTTTGCTCTGGAGTGAATTTGTATGAAATTTTCTAAAGATATTTAATTGTCTACTTTTATAGAATAATTTGACACATATATGTTGCAAATGATAATTTTGTGTATTTGGTATTCAGGGATTTTTATTACATGCTTGTCAATTCACTGAATATTTGCCGAATAATGAGGTTGGAGAAGAACTTTATCAAATGCTCGTACAAGCGTTCGACAGAGGATTGATTTTCAAGATGGAAACAAAGAACGGAGGAAGTATAACATAGGATGAGGAAATACTCCATACCACCGATTCGTCGATGGTATCAGAAGAGTAAGTGACCTCAGCTGTTATTGGCGTTAGGACAAATATAGAACCAGGCCTGACTAGGGGGTGCAAATAGAAATTGCATTCAAACCCTTCTTGCATCACTAGTTCCACAAAATTTCATCACGATACTGATGCCATGCAATTGAGTTGGGACCAGATTTAAACGATACGAGGACTTTTGGGCTATTTCATTTGGAAGGACCTTCTTCAACAATGATGTCATAAAGCTTCAATTAAATAATTATGACACCTTTATAAGCCTGAAATGTTATGTTGCATACATGGCATCATAAACAAATAATAAAATTATGTAAAATAATTTTTTTTAGTAACAGGCATTAAATGTATGCCCATAACCCAAATAGATTGGGCAATACATATATTTTTCAAATCAAAGCATGATGTTTGCCTTCACAAAATACATCGAAATATTTCTCTCATGTATGTTTTCTTGCGAGTTGTTGTCTGGCACTAAATTCAGTTCAATATTCCCTTTTTTCTTATTTTAACATTAATAATTTCAGAGATCAATATCAAAGCCTTCTTGGAGCATTGAACAACATGGGAATCAATCAAACATGGAATTGACTTTTCAGTCTTCAAATAACTTCAATATGAAATAGTTTCTTGAATATTCAAAGAGATTTTTCGAATACAATCCATACCAGGGCTGGGCAAATTTACGGTCATCGGGCCGGATAAGGCCCATTGAAGTGTTTCATCCATTCCACTTCTGTCAGCTGAAATTCCAACTATGGTTTTTATGGATAAAAATTTCCATTGAAAATAACGTCATAATGACCCCAATTGTTACATTGTGCTTCCTGTTATTATATAAACATTAGCCTAGCTGTTGGAATAGCTTTTTAAAATTGTTTTTTTATGTTTAGTTTTCCTATTAGGTGTTGACACTCTGGTCCATTAACAAAGTCAATTATTGCTTTTGATCCACTCAGTAAAGTAATTGCCCACCCAGCTTTATTACCCTAGGGAACCCCACGTAACACCCCTGTTACATGATCTTTAGAAACCTGTAGAAATGAAATGTTTCACAGCGCACCCCGACGTTATAGATCATAGAACCCCTAAGGCCCAATGTTACTCAACAGTACAGCTTTCGTGCACCGATCTGCCGGTTAGGTGGCGCTCCAGAGTATTGTTTATCATGGTGTGTGGGATTTTTGACAAGATCCTGGAAGACCTAGAAACATCGGATCATATATGAAGAACGACGATCGGTGTCAAATAAATGGTGAGTTGGGGTCTTAGTTGACGTGATATAGATTACTATGTTGTATGAATTGAGAATCTAGAGTGAATACTGACCCGACATACTAAGGTATCACCGGTGTCACATCGGGATTAGTCATACAAATGGAGAAATTCAATTTGCATGTGACACCGGTGATACAATAGTTGCAAGCATTCACATTATAGCCTTGAACTTCCTTTTTTCTTGCTTGGTCAGGCCACTAACCATATGTATTCATTTTTCTAGAACATGGCATCGATTGGGCCAAGCAGCTTGCGGAGAACTGGAATCACAAGAGTGTACAATGCTGATGATATTCTTGTCATTTTGAACTGCGATGAAAGTGATGATAATAATGGTGGATGCACTAGTAGTGGGTCAGATAGTGAATACGATATCAGAAAAGACGAAAACAACGGCTCCCAGGTTCATAATATTTTCAAATAATGGTTACATAGTTTTTTTTTTGAAGAAGCATTACACAACTGCTTACGATCAATTATCGCTCACAGACACAAAAAATATCTTCTGACAAATATCTTGATCACTCATTGATCGAAACAATAAATAATGTTGTTCTTTGTTTTTATTTCGACATATTTCATTTTACAGATTGAGTCCGAAAGTTCTGACGACGACGTTCTATTGGCGAATCTACGAGTGCAAAATCAAAAACAAAGCCAAATAGAAAATGCAACCGACCGCAATGAGTTTCGGTGGAAAAAGAAGCACAACGATAGACCTGATGCAACATTCCTCGGTCCACAATTAAATCCTCCAGCTGACATGATTGTAGATACGCCATTGCGTTATTTCCGACGTTTTGTTACAGAGGAAATGCTGCAACTTCTGACAGAACAAACAAACCTCTACAGTGTTCAAAAGAATGGTGTTTCGGTCAAAACGAACAAAAAGGAAATTGAGCAGATATTAGGAATGTATTTGCACATGTGTATAGTGCAGATGCCCAGTGTTTGGATGTATTGGGAAACTTCAACATTTTATGAGCCAGTGAGTGGAGTTATGTCTCGCAACCGCTTTCAAACATTGCTGAGAACTCTACACTTTGTAGACAATTTGACTGTGTCTGACAACGAAAAACTTTCTGACAAGCTATGGAAGATTCGTCCGTGGCTAACAATGTTCAGAGATGCATGCTTACAGGTTACAGCCGAGGAATACAACTCTGTTGACGAGATGATGTGCCAGTATAAAGGCACGACAAGTTCCATACGTCAGTACCTGAAGAGTAAGCCTCATCCGTGGGGTTTTAAAATCTGGGGAAGAGCGGTTATAAGTGGAATTCTTTACGACTTTGATGTCTACCAGGGTGGTACCGGTGAACGCACAGAGTTAGGACAAGGTGCGGACAATGTTCTCAACTGACATCAACATTGCCATACCATGCAAACTACAAGATATTCGCTGATAACCTTTTTAGCATCTTTCCACTCATCCAAAAATTATCAGAGAGGGGAATGCAGTATGTTGGAACCGTGAGAAAAAATCGCCTACCCAACTGTAACCTGGACGATGAAAAAACATTAAAGAAGAAAGGCAAGGGGGAAGATGACTTCAGAGTTCAAAACAATAACATAATAGCCGTAAGATGGTATGACAACAGGGCAGTGTCACTACTATCTTCGTACGTAGGAGTGGAGCCAATTGATCAAATCAGACGATGGGACAGACGAACGAAACAGCATGTGCACATAGCCATGCCTGCTATCGTTCAAGAATACAATAAGTTTATGGGAGGTATTGATAAATTGGATTCATTTCTTGCAAAGTACAGGTTCCGAATGAAATCAAAAAGATGGTATCTTTATCTCTTTTGGCATTTTATAATGGTTGCTATTGTGAATGCCTGGCTCTGGTACCGCCGTGATTGTGCTCTGCTCCATCTTACAACGCGAATTATTATGAAACGGAGACATTTTCAAGCAGCAGTCGCAAGTGCTTTGATCCATGTCAATACTGACACCCGTCGCGGGAGACCATCGTCTGAAGTTGAAGAAATTCGCAGCCCCTCAAGAAAAATTTCCATGGCCCCATGTGAAGATATTCGCCGAGACAAATACGCACACTGGCCAACGAAAATTGAGAAAAGGGGAAGATGCAAATTGTGTGAACGCAATCAAACAAATACCAGTTGTTTAAAGTGTAAAGTGAGACTTTGTTTTGTCGAGGGCCGCAATTGTTTTATGACTTCCACGCCTGAGGAACTTCAACTTGTTTTGACTAGATTTTTCACATTTGTATACAGTGTAAATCCCATTGTAAGACTTGTAACACATATGTCACATTTGAAAAGGGGGTTGAATGAGGTCAAAGGTTAAAATGGTATAAATATTTGTTCAACATGATTAAAATGGACTAAGAATACCAAATATCAGATTTTTCCTTCAACTATTTCGTTGTCTGGGTTCCCCGGGGTTAATTACTCTATTCGAATCTGCCAAAATCAGACAGGGTTTTCAAAAAACAGAAACAAGGACATTTGGAGCACAATCTAGAGCAGACATTGGCCAAATTCGGCTCGCTAGGTAATTAAATCTGATGATGCCACAACCAAACTGAAACCAAATTTTGATGTTTTAGTTAAAAATAGCTTAAGGAATTTGTTGATATTGTGGTTAAATTTAGTTTTGGCACAAGGTTTATTGTTTTCCACTGTTGCTTTTGAAACACTGTAAATATTGTTCATAAAATGCAACTCTTTAAGTCATACTTACATGGCCCGCTGGTCTAGGTGGGCAAAAGTTTTGGTTCCTGATCCAAAAACCGTGCCCACCCCTGATCTAGCGGGTACATGAGTTTTGTGCAAAGTGTCCTGGATTACTGAAACTTTTCGGTACAGTCATACATAAAAAGAGTTTAAATTTTTAGTCATTCTGTATGATTCCAAATACATTTTGAATTATTATTCTGAAACTTGGGCCGAATCAATATCGACAATATTCAATTTTGGGAGCTCAGAAGTATGTGCACCAAGATGGCACACAACCTGAACATAGTATGTGTTGTTGTACAGAATAACCTAGATGAATTTATTTTTTTAATACCAGAAGTTAACTGAAATCAAATATGTATGTAACCCCTTAGTTTGTAAAGCTGAAAATTGTAGATTGCTAAGTGAAACTGGCTTTCCAGAAGTATGTGCACCAAGATGCTGTTCAAAACGTGCTGCTACTATTCTGCCATGATGAAATCTAATCTAAAAGATTTCTTCTTTTCTCCCAATATGTCGTTATGCTGGCTCCCAATATGTCGTTATGCTGAAATTTTTCGAAATTTCCAAAATAATCCACGAGGAGGCGTAAAATGTTTTTTCTATTTTATTCTCTCCGATACCCATTTTAAATTTATTAGACGTTCAATACCGGTGTATTAGCAACTGAAAAAGATAATTGTTCAACTTTTTAGTGATTTTAGTGGAAGTACAAAACCAATTTTAATTATCATATATATTTTCCTTAAAAGTACCAAAAAATGCACTATGTTTGGTATTAAATATGGCCAGTTCAAAACGTGCTGCTACTATTCTGCCATGATGAAATCGAATCTATAAGGTTTCTCCTTTTCTCCCAATAGTTAGGTTAGATCGATCCAGTATCACATGCTGAGTCAGTAATCCTAGAAACATGGTGCAGGGCTGAGAACGTATGTTGGGGTGTAATTTTTTGACCAGATCTTGGAGGCATGCGATCTCCTTTTGTAACATTGAAAACATAAATTATGCAGGTTTCACTCCGGTATGAGTTCGCTCATGCGCACGTAAATTTATTAAATCTGAAAAACTCTTTTCACATTGTGTACAAGGATACTGTTTATGCTGTTGTAAACTAGACAGTTGTGAAAAACCCTTTTCACATTGTTTGCAAACATAAGGCTTCTCTCCGATATGAATTCGCTCATGCCTATGTAAATGAGATAATCGTGAAAAACACTTCCCATATTGTTTGCAAACATAAGGTTTTGTTCCTGTATGAGTTCGCTTATGCTCTTGTAAATGAGATGATTTCGAAAACCACTTTCCGCATTGTTTACAAACATAAGGTTTCTCACCAGTATGAGTTCGCTTATGCACATTTAAATGCCACTCTGATTTGAAATTCTTTCCACATTGTTGGCAAACAAAGGTTTCATCTCTACTGCTGGTTTGTAAATTTGACCCTGGTAACATTCAATCGCACACAACTGATTTTCCAGTTTCAGCTTCATCACTCAAACCACTTTCTCGACATTTTTCTTCGCCACCTCTTTGTAAAGAAGTTTTACTGATAATGTCTTTTCCGTAACGCTTCTCAAGAGTTGGTAAGCTGACTATTTCCCACAATGTTGTTGGTTGCATATTCGCATAAATCTCCAGTTCCATCATTAATGTGCAAAAACATATGCTTTTCCAAACTGGGCCCTGATGGAAAGTTTTCATCACAGATAAGGCAGGGAAATACGTTTTCGGTGGAGTCTATGATTTCGGTAAAATTTTCCATAGTTAGGAATATCTGAAAAATCATTGTATGTTTTCTATACTTTGCACCACTGACTATCGCCTACACTAAAAACGATCAAATATATGTACACAAAGGCCAAAACGAAGTAGTAGTAGGGTGACTCTACGCGGAACTATGGGAATATTTGATACCGTTTGCAGGTATGTATACAATCTGTCTACTACCAGTACGTAGTTCGTAGTCTTCACCTGAATGTCAAAAAGCAACAAAAGCGCCACAAGTCAGTCACCAAGTGTTAAATTTTTAATTTTGATGATGTCATTCCACACAAAATAACGAATCTCACAGATAATAATACTAATAAATAATAAAAGTAATAGCTTTATAGCTTTACTTTAATGGCTTTATAGCTACAAATACTATCTTTGAACCATTGAAAATTTCAAAGCAATCGGTCCAGTCGCCATTGAGAAACGCTATTTTTCCACAACAGAAGAAAAAATACTACAGTAACAATAACAAGAGCATAATTAGTTTAGCTACAAAACGATCCAATGTAAACTTATACAAACAAAAAGGTTTTCTAGAGAATATACATTATTTTTCTCAACAGTTGAGCCTAAAAATTATGAAAAATCACATTTCTATAGACCTAAAACACCGCCGTAGAAAATGCAAAAAGACGAACAACTCACCAGGTCTCTCTGTAGCCGAGTTGTCCGCCTCCCCTTCACACTGTCCTCATCTTTCTTGACTTCTATATTAAGTAAATCAATGTTTGAGTATTTGGAGAGCTGCTTTTATATTCGAATTACCTGATTCCAAGACAAAAGATCAACTTGACTCACGTATGCAGAAAGAAGTCAAATGTATAACTATGGTGCGATTTTTTTTTGTGCCGAATAAATTCCAATGCCCAACGGAATTTTCACTTTATTTTAAATACATAGTTTTTGTTTCCATGTTTTTGTTTTTTAATTTAAATCCTATTCCCCCCAATACATATGAATAGGAAAAATCAAAATACAGACAAAATTCATACCATTACCACGATGTCATTAATTTAATATAATCCAATATATGCCCAAAACATTGAGTTAATCCACATGCAATCCACTCAGCAATTAGTTGTATATAAGTTTAATTTACTGGTAATCAGTTTATTTTTAATTAGCATGAAAAATAAAACAAGAATACGAAAATCACACAGAGAATACGGAAAAATCCACGCTTTTGTATTGGGTTTTTCCTATTCGCCATCTATGTTCTATAGTTGATACATCATCCTCTTATGAAAATGATGTACAAATAACATACTTTCAATAATTTTCACAGTATGGTGCTGCATATAAACTTACATCATGATTGACCTATGTATAAGATCATGCATGTGCTCATATAACAATATTTCATTTCTTTCGCCTGCTTTTAGTAAATTTAAAATCCCTACCAGTTTACACTTGAAAATTGAACGCATACTACTTTTCATTTTATCTATTTCCTCATATTTTACTGAATTTCGATATTCCCAAATTGTTGATTTTCCGCATATTATTGTGATTAATTTTGATTTGCAAGTATTTTGATTAATATCTATGCAACACCATTGCCAAAAATCAATAGACCAGTCACATTCTAAAAATAAATGACACACAGTTTCTTCAATATTATTTAAACATAGAACACATATTCCTGGTTCATCAATGAACCAGTGTTTTATTTTATCTCCTGTGGGCAACCCAATATGAATTATTTTCCAACATAACTCTTTATACTTGTTTCCAATATTTTTTTCCATATTTTACTCTAATTAATCGCCTTAGTTAGGTGTAATTTATTAAAGATGTATTCCTTATGGTTTTTCAAAAATGTATCACTTTTCTTACTTTGTAAAACCCTATAAATTTGATTAGTGGTTAAGTCTTTCGACTCATTGTACCTATCAATTAATAATCTTGTTTGACCAAATTCCCTATTCTTTGATAAAATCTCTCTCCATTCTATTGGAAGTGCTTCCCATATTTGCCGTAATTCATTTTCGCACTTATTTATCAAGCATTTTTTTCTTAAAGTACTTATTGCAGAGTTTTCTAGCTGGGGGTAGACTCTTTTGGAAATATCGTACAGTGTTTTGCCAAAGATATCACTACGGTACTATTAGACTCTAGTATTTTTTTATGTAAAATTAATTCTACCAGGAAAAAATTACATCAGGCATAAAATAAATTAAATGGGTCTCCGGGTCTTGACTTCCTTGTGTCTTTGTTTTGTAATGAATATCTGGCAGTATTTTTTTAAAATTAAAATTTTATTATTACATCTGTCATTGCTTAACTTTCTTGTTTCTTTCCGTAACAATGGTTAGTCGTCCATATCACAACGTTAATCCAAAAGTGCTAATTGATCCGTCGCGCAAACATTTCAAAAATAACTTTGAACAGTTGATTTGTATTCAGCAGTATGATAGCGTATGTTTGTCACCAAGGGTATTCATATGGAGGAGAAATAAAGTGAAACAGTTGCCGACGTTTCGAATTTATATACATACGGAATGACAATAGCGCATATATCGCAAGAAAAAAGTTATCACGGTGTAAAAATTAAATTTTGTGAAATCTCGCGACTATACCAAACAGCATATAATTAAATGATTAAAACAAAACTGTGTTTGGCGCAGCGGTGTGGCTCAACGGGCTAAGCGTTAGGAATACGCTCGCCACCGCACCTCTGATTACTCTGCGTGGGTTCGCAGGTTTGAATCCCATGCAGGGATGGGTATGTGCGAGAGGATTGCTGGACTCCTCGCCGTCGTTGGGTGGTTCATGTACCCGCTGGTCGGTTACGGCTTCCTCCACCACCAAGTCCATGCTTCCGAAAACGGACAATACAACTAATCCCATACCCGACTTGGAATGGTAACCGGACGAGAGGTTGTAGTTCGCCATATGGATAAGCCGTTTTATCGGCTTTCCTCTCCCCCGGGATAAATATGTAAATCCTATCCTATTTTTATCCAGATGTAATTTTTCCGCGTAGGAGTAATTTAATAAAATCCTGAACAGTTGTTTTAGCGATACATTCACAGCTCTATCCCAATATTGTGAGATATGTTAGGTTGCTCCAGTGTTTTGGATTTAGGAAATTCGTATATGAAGGCAGATCACAGCTCTCTTAAATACCCAATACAATGATTTATGCAATACAGAATGCAAAAAAGACGAGAAAGTAGTCTGAGCCGGAGTTAACTGTACAGGTAGGTACCGTACCGGTACCGGTATAGATAGATAGATAGATAGTTTATTTCGAAAACTCCATAACAAACCTAAATTAAAAATGGAGAATTCTGGAGGGCAAGCAAAACCTACAAAAAAGTTTAAAACATGAAGTATCTCATGTGTGCCTGCCCACCAGCACGCACACAAAAACACAAGCCCAATTAAAATGAGGCTTGGGGCCAAACTTAAACAAACCAAAATACACGATAGTAATAAACTTTCGGGCTGTTGTACTCTCTTTCAACAATTACGTTTGATAATGACCAATACCTACAACCTCATGCAAAGATAATGTGGGGAGTGGAATGTAATAAATTTGCGACGAATAGTCATACTCATGAAGCCATGAAAGCTTTAAGAACAACCAAAGCATGAAAAACTACACTGATTGCTAGATTGGGCATGCGGAAAAGTGATAAAGTGGTTTAATATACAAACAAACGCAAAACCATGGCGGCAAATTCAGTGTGCGGACACTCATAAAAGCAATTATAGGAAAACACTAATCACACGTGAGCAGGTCTGTAGCCTAATTGATACATTGACGTGGCCAACATTGTTAAAACAGTACCGTACCGGTATACACACAGAGAGAACAAATCAAAAATATGCCACTAAATGAATGTTTAAAAATGTTACACTGTAAGTTACACTGCAAACTATTTACACATATATAGTTGAATACTCAGTATTCAAGCGGAATTTCGAGAAATAGCAGTATATCATACTCTGTCACAAATAAAATATCTGAATCAATCCCTGATGTATTCATCTTCGATTCTGGTTATGATGTCCTGCCTTTATGCTGTTTCATATTTCGGCCTTTACTTGTTGATATTCCTTAAGTGCTGGTTCATTGTTGTCAATCTTAATTTCTGCGCCGTTCAAAAATGCGACGCGACCGCACCCGACGACTGCCAAACACAAACTTTAAATCCAATCTTTTATCCATAAACTTCTTTAATTCCGGTGGATGGGCCTTGATCATGTTGATATCACGAGATACAAATCTAATAGTAAATACCGAAACACACAGCGCGTAGCATTCTCAGTCCAACAGCATTGATTGATCTTTCATCTAACAGGGCAACAAAAATACGTCCGACCCAGACGGCAGTCTGGCAAGTATGGTATAGTTTAGTACCACATGTACTTCTAGTTGGCCTGGCTAAACAATTTTTGCATATGTCATTCCTAACCCTCACCTGACTGAGTCACCCAAAAATTACGTTATTTTAAGTTTTTAACGTCACTGTGGCGTAATAAGGCCCACCAGAGTATGCGAATGATCGTCCAAAACGCGCAGACGATCACCCGAAATCGAGCAAGCTCTTTCTCTTGTTTTCTCGTCACAACGACAGGAGAGACATCGCCGTCCTTAGCGAGTTCGTTATCGGCGGCGCAGATGCCATCTCGGGCGATCGTAATTATACTTTGGCAAGCCCTAAGACGTGATGGTGACGTCGTAGTGGTGTACGGTAATTTTTGGATGGCATAGTCAGCTGAGGGTTAGAAATAACATATGCAAAATTCGTTATGCTACGCCCACTGGAAGTACCTGTGGTACTAAACTATACTAGACCCCCGTACCGGTAGGAACTGCAACTTATGTAGCCACAAGCGGTTCGGTACCGTAAAACCGGCTAACTTCGGATGATTTTACTATATTTTGAACAATATCTCTGCCGCATGTTGTTCAATTGAAGCCAAATTTGAAATATAATACATTGTGGCTATTCTCGTCATGGTCAAATCGGTTTCACATCCACCAAAGCCTTTTTTCATTGAAATTATTGACTTTATTCGTCTATTCTAAAATTATCTAACTTCGGATGGCCGCTTTTCTCTTTGCGTCACCTCGCCGTGAGAGAGAAATGTCTGCGTGAGCAGTGACGCATGACAACGTCGCTGAGCAGACCTTACGCCGCCTCGACGCGTTATGCGTGATGCATACTGACGTTCGTACGTGACGCTACTCTTGCCTCTTCGCGAAGCTTAACTATTTATTTCTGCGTCCTTTATTATAACTCTAACTTTATTATAACTTTATATATTTCACCAACTACTCCTAATTTATTGCAAAATGCTGGTTCGTTCTTTTATGATCGTTTATTTTTAATGCAAGAAAAGGTTTAACAAAAAAAAACGAAGAATTGAAAGTACCTAACACTGATGGAGTGAAATTACAATATGGAACAAGTAAAAATTGAACAAAAATTAGGCAATTAAAAATAAACGGATAAATTGAATGAAACACTGACAAAAGTAAAAATTGAAATTAAAATGCAATATGGAACAAGTAAAGAATGAACAAAAATTAGGCAATTAAAAATAAACGGATGAATTGAATGAAACACTGACAAAAGTAAAAATTGAAATTAAAAAGCAATATGGAACAAGTAAAGAATGAACAAAAATTAGGCAATAAAAATAAACGGATGAATTGAATGAAACATTGACAAAAAAAAAAATTGAAACAAGTAAGGTATGAACAAAAATTTGAAAAACAGATAAATTGAAATAAACGCTGGCAAAATTAAGAATTGGAATCATTCCCACATGGGTTAGACGGGTCGGTGCAACAGTTCTTGTGGAACCAATGTGTTTCGCTGCAGCTTTCGCAACCGACCCATTCATCCTCAGTTTCAGTCTTTCCATTTGGATCATTCCATAATCCACAAGCAGAACAGGTGTCGACTTTAGCATCACTTTTCTGATTTTCCCAGAGCTTCCCGTTGATCGGCTCGGCAGAGGTTCCTGCCCGGTGTGATTTTGGATCCTCTTCTACGTTTAACTTGATTTGTGTCTGTGGAATGTAATGACTTTAGAAATGTGATTAGAGTAGACGTAGCTTGGTCGTCTATTTCTTGTTTATTAACGTCTGAAGATTGACATTCGATAGGTCGTAGTTTTGACAGCACCGCAGTGGGGTTAAATGGGTGGATCCCACAAGCTCGGAATCCAGATTTTAGGTTTTGGGAAGACATTTCAGCCGATTTTTGGAAAAGTTTTTTTAATAGATGGGAAAATGTTCCTTCGGGAAACCACAAATTCGTGATTCAGCCCTCCATTCGGCTACTATTTTTCTCCACTTTGCTTTTAGTGGGGAAAAAAATGAATAATCGAGAGGCTGTAATATATGAGTGCTGTTGGGCGGCAGACAGGTAAAATAAATATTGTTTTCATCCGCCAATTCAACAACCTCCATGGTTAAGTGGGATGACAAATTGTCACCTACTAGCATTTTGTCGCCGTCAAGTTTGTCGCAATATGGGAGAAAAACCTCTTTGAACCAGCGGATGAAGGTTCTGGTGTCAAACCATCCGCTGGGTGTTGCGTCGTATATCGCATCTTCAGGCCCATCAGTGGTCCAATACTCGTAGATGTTTAAAGCAGAATAGACAATCATAGGGGGCAAAAGGCTTCCAGCGGCCGATCCACAAAACATGATGGATATCGAGCTTTTCGAAAAATCTCGAATCATCTCCACTCTATTTGTACCGGTTGGAACGATTGAACGTTTTCTGCCCGGATCGTCTCGGAGATTCGTTTCGTCGTAATTGAAAATGTTTGTTGCAGGTAAGCGAGTCGCAATTTCTTTAATCTCGTCGAAGTATTTTACTATTTTTCTGACCCCACGGCTGCACGAGTTCTTTTAATGTTTGAGGCAACTTTTGGATAACCGCTGCCTTTTGCAAAAATTATCCACCCACATCGGGCCGGGTTTGTTGTTGGGGAACGTAGGAGAACATATTCCCTTTGAATCCAAATAATTTTTGACAATGTTGCACATGTCCTCCGGTCCAATGGGATATCCCCAACGTGCAATGATTTCAAGGCTCTAGCAAATCTCTTTTCCTCCTCATTTGATAAACCAGTCGGGCGACCAATACTTTTAGTGTGAGTCTTCTTCATTTTGTCGAATAATGTCGACCTTTTCACGTCATGGCGTTTAGCTGCTTTCGCATACGACATCCCTGCCTCAACATCAGCCATAGCCTTTTGCAAGTCCTCGCTATTGCAGGAGTTGTAAGTTCTCTTTGGCATCTGATTGATAGATCAGATATAATATGTTTACAAGTAGATAGACAAAGTCAAATGACAATAAACGGACAAAAACGGCAAAAAGAAACTTCAACACCTTTTTTTCATTTTGCGCCTTACCTGTATGTGGTCCAACCTCCTGCTGTGTGCACCTGCGCAGAGTTCCACGCTCAAGATCTTATTATCATCGGCCAATCGTAAACAGACATATCTAATTATCATGATTCTATAGAAACTTCTAGAAGTTCCACGCTCACCTGTTTAACGTTCCATGCTCAAGATCTTATTATCATCGGCCAATCGTAAACAGACATATCTAATCATCATGATCCTATAGAAACTTCTAGAAGTTCCACGCTCACCTGTTTAACGTTCCATGCTCAAGATCTTATTATCCTCGGTCGATCGTAAAGAGACATATCTAATCATTATAGTCGTCTAGAAACTGGATGTTTATCAGCCTAACGTGTTACCAATTGCTATCTATCGGTGTCGGAGAAAGTATGCAAAAACAGAAATCGACAAATTTTATATGCATCAAGCGTATGTATACGCATTATTTTTAAATAAAGAACATATGACTGAGACGATAGTGATGTTTTTGTAGGATTTAGGGACAAGGCTCATGGATGTCCTCAAATTTTAAATTTCACAATACTGGGCGCCGCGAGGTCTGCCTTCAAATGTCGCGGCGAGTTACGCACGAGCTACGCAAAGTGACGTCTATGAAAAGAGAGAAAGCGATTTGCGTCGTTGACGTCACGCTGTACGTAATCATCAAAACGTCGTAATTTTGATGCAATTTTTAAATCAAAATAATCGATTTCACTCGAATCTCGTACGACACCTCGTGATCACTGTATTTTTTTGTATACATTGTGTACGCTCTCTAGCGCTTGGCGGTAATTTGGCGAAAGTCGCGTCGGTAGAAGTC